AGCAGTGCAAGAACTTTATATAGTAATTAGGCTCTGCAGCTACAGTAGTATCTTATAGCTGCAATAGTAATGCAAGAACCTTATGTTGTAGTTAGGCTCTGTGACTACAGTAGTAGTGCAAAGACCTCATGTTCAATGATTAGGTTCTGCAGCTGCAATAGCAGTACAATGATCTTATATTGTAATTAGACTCCACAGCTGCAATAGCAGTGCAAAAACCTATAATAAGTAACAACACCCATATCACTATGTAATACTAATAATCAATTCTTGTACAGCTATATAATTTTTTTTTTTTGGCTACATTCCTATGCAAGATGCAATAAATTATAAGATAGATGGTTAGCTTCAGATGAGAATATTTACTTGGATCTTGATATTCTAATATATATATCAATATTTTTTATATAAAATTAATTAAGATAATAGCTATATATTATTACTTAGAACATCTTGCACTAATAAATTAGTCAATTTTGAGATTATACTGTATATACATAGATGTAAAACATTATAGGTGCATTTTAGTAAAAGGTTAAGAAAAAATTTATTTGAATTATTAAATGGCTTACAAATTTAACTTTTATTCATAAAATCTATATAGCCTTAAAGAGACATTTTTCTAGCAAAGATCCTATTTAATAAACAATATACTATATAGACTGATAAAGAATCTGGGAAAAAAGGAAAGTTCAAACAGCAAAAAACCCTCATGTGGAAGAAAATCCTAAAAATTGTGCTGTCTGTGGTCAATTGGCTCTCATAAAAGATGGACAAATGAAATTGTGGGACGGAGAGTGCCATGAAGTTGGCCACAGTGTTGGAAACCTTATGTTCTCATGTTCTCATGAGAACATACCGTTAGATTTGGAAACATTTGATATTGTGTAAATGTTCTCTATGAAAAAAAAATCTGAGAACATAATACTCAAAAAATATATTCTCTATATAAGTATAATAATAGCATAATGCCAGATGGAAATAAAATTAGAATCGAGAGAAATTAAATGGATGAACATAGAAGACAAGAAGGGTTTGTCCAATATTTTCCAAAATAAAAAATTCAAAAAATAGGGTATGAATAAATTTTACTGATAAGATATTAAGAACATAAATAACTTTCTAAAAACACTAAATTAAATAAATATGTTCTCTATAGATGCAGACTTATGACATCACCTAGTTACGTCCTATATAAAAAATCGGTTTATAAAATAAACCACAATTGAGCCGTAACTAGTAATGTCAATAAGTCTGCATCTATAATGTTCTCATAAGAACATAAATCTCAAAACAGATTTCCAACACAGCTTGTATACTGCAGTGTTAGCCGATAACTTAAGTCATACCATTTTTTTGATATGACCTTGGTTATAAAATCATATGACTTTTTGGTCATAAGTCATATTGGCAATATTAAATGCTAATAAAAGTTTTTTTTTTACTATGATTCTTACTATATCATAAGTCATATTAGCCTTCATTATGACCAAATGACCTATGGCTGGTCATAAAAGTCATATAGGTCATTGAAGGTCATCGGCCAACATTGTACTACTGTATATAATAAAAAAATCACTATAAAATAACAATTTTGCAAAGTGATGAAATAATATTAATATTAATAAACAAAATAACAACTCAAAAAATAGCAATATCGCATATGATTCAGAAGCAAAACCGAAACGTTTTATAACAGATAATACAGTAATACGTAAATGATTATCGTCATCAAACTATTTTGTAAGAAATAGTATATTCGGTAAGCTTTTAATTTCGGTGTTCATAATCGGTCCATTTTATTTATTTTTTTCATATTTTTGATAAAATATATATTAGCAGGGCCGATGATTTTCTGCATTCCACGGAATGCCGTAGAAATCACGGAATCAGACTGTAAATGCAGAATGTATTAAAGATAGCACGGAATTGTCGAGATATAGCACGGAAATATCATGTTTATAAGTAAAATATAGCTTCCGGCATAGAAGTTAAATGAACTTAAAATACGAGCATAGTCGAGCTAAAATTTTCGGTTGATATCCGAAATAATCCGAAGAATAAGCTATAAAATTGTTGCAAGTTCATAATTTATAATGCACGAATTTTATACAATCAACGCATAAGTAGCGTTGCAAATAAAATTACAATCGTCACAAGGAAATAACTATTGGTATATAGTAATTTTTTTTTAATTCACATGCAATAAATATAAGCTATAGTATGTGATGATTGATCCTACGTACGTACGTAATTTTGTTTGCAACGCTAACTAACAAATTTTAATAATCAAGGGATTTAGATTTTGTCATCGACAATTTATCACTGCAGGAAATCATCGGCCCTGTATATTAGCTAAGATTTTTGGCTAATCTTCGAAATTATTTCTTGAAGTATAATAATCATGATGCCAATATTCACCACTATTTAGAACAAAAAGAATGCTTAGAGCATTGGTTACCCAATAAAAAAAATTTATATAGCAAATATACAGAAAATATATTGACTATGCAACAATTTGGTGAAAATTCTACATATTTTTCAGTATACTCAATATAATTTTTGTATATTCCTACGTATATAAAAATTTTTTATAAGGTTATTAAACCAATTCTGCGTTCTTTGAAAAAAAGGTAAGTTTAATAAAAACTGATTTATATGATCTTATATCGATATTGCATTTCAGGTTTACAACTATCCTAACCCCTGGTTTTTTAGCATCGATTTATAACACTGTCAAGTACAGTTTACAATTATACAATCACAACATTAAAATATTCTGAACACTTCATAACATGATCATTTTATTTATCATTACATATGATCGTTGAACATATTATAAGCTTAAATTGTGAACCAGCACAATAGTGAACCAGCACTCGTGTCCAGCACTTGTTAAAAATTATGATTCAATATTATATACGGAAAAAAGAATGACAAAAATTGTGAGCCAGCACTAATATTAAAAATTATTATTCTGCTATAATGTATACGAGAGAAGGGAATGGTTTAAAAGTGATTGATGATAAAGAATGCATTAAATTAATGTGTAATGCGTACTGTACAGTGCAAATGTATGAAATTAAAAAAATTTCTTGTAATGTACTATGTATAGAATGCCTATACTGGCACGAGTCCTTCATAACTTGAAACACCGAATCTACGGTTTCCAATCAATATGTCAGCAAAAAAGTCTTGTATTGAATTAATTAATCCATAAGATGTAGTTTGGTCTACTCCAAAAGTTCCATGCACTGCCGGCTCGTACGACTCAACGTACGAATAAGCATGAAATGATCTTTTGGCGCTGATAATTTACAAAAGTATAATCAATAAAATATTTGAATTATGGACCAACAAGGAAAGAGAAATTACTACTTACGCCCAAATAAAAAAAATAATAAAACATTCTATTAATAGTATAAAAATTAAAATGACTGTACAATTTATGCTACGATATAGCTTTTTGGGTATAGCTAATACCATATGAAGAGGGATCAAAATGTATGATAGTAGGTTCTTAATTATATTTAACAGGAAATCCGTGGATCTTCGTCTTAATATTGTTGGTGATTGTGGTGGTGGTGTAATTTGAATTGTCTAAACAAATAAATGGTTGGTCAAATCGATTAGTTTGATATGGTATAATTTGATATATTTCAAAGAACGGACCTTGTTAACTTTTCTTTTCTTCGTCACTTTTGCCAATAATCGCTCGATATCTTCTTGAAGCCTTATGACATCTCTTTCTAGATCTTCTGCTACCTTTGTCTTCGTCCCAAATTGCGCCAAGAGAACCTTTAATTCATTCTGCGCGTGAGAAATACATCAAGAACGTAAGTATAGTAAAAATGTTGTTTTCCAGGATCGAATCACGTGAACGCAGGCCATATGTTTTATTATTATTATCATTGTAATAAAATAAAAAGTACTAAACCTCAAAAAAATTGCAGTTACCGTTACATACTTATGCACGGTTAAGTACTTATGCACGTGGAACATGCTACATTACATTTGGCCATGAGTAACTCTAAGGAAAACTATATTTCAGGCCTTTAAATTCTAACCTACCAGACTCATTTATTCAGACTTGAGTCCAGTAAGTCAGGTTAAAAAGCTTAAAGTCAGGTTTTCCCTTAGCATCACTCTAAACGATAAGTTAGCTGGTCTACATTCACGTGACCGTATTTTGTTAAATGAGCTGCAATGTCTGCATTTTAATACAGATAATGCAGGAAAGTGTCTGCATGTTTTTAATACGTATAAAAAATGCCTGCATTATATAATCTGCAGCTTCAACTCACTCTTGAATATTCGAAATCTGATTTTCTCTTTTCTTTTTCATCCGCATATGGCTTTCGTCTGGGTCTTCTCTTCTCAACAAGGCTCTATTATAAAATTGTCGATAATGTCCGATTTTAAAAGATGGTTTTCGCCATTTTTCCGTTAGTCAATCTAACCTTGAAAGTCTACAACAGTCCTTGCCCAACTTTGAATTTATCCAATTATGTGATACTGACCTGCTGCAGCTTGTCTATTATTTGACCTTGTTGAGGTTGAATGAACATATCGATTGAGAATATAAGTTAACCGTTATTTGTTCTAGTCGGCAAAAACACTTGAATTCTTGATTTTGACAGTTTGCTACCGTCTCAACTGCTATCTTTTATTTATCTGTTAAAGGTCACACGAACTCCCAAAATTTGGACACCAATTTAAATGATCTAAAGTTAGAAATTGTATATCATACAGATACAAAAAGTAACAGTAATGGTTATATTGAAAATATAAATGATGTAACATTTTTAGACAGTGAGTCATTGCGGCGAATCCGTGGCACAAATAATCGGACAGGTCGGGAGAACAAGGATATTCGTCATGAGATTTTGTAGCACAAATTCCAGAATCAGCACCTCCGATTCCAAATGGAGCGTTCACACAAAAGGTGTGTATTTTGAATTCTTATCAACTGTCTTCCACCCAATGACATCACTGAAACCATGAATAGTACCGAGTATGGTTCAATTTTAAAAATGGGATTCCTTGAAAATGAAACGGTATACGCTCTACTTTTTATGGATACTATATATCAAAAAATAATCAAATGTCAATATCTAAACCCTTTTTGTAAATACTGGTCGCCATTCTCCGTAAAAGCTGCGGGTATTGAGATTTGGTACGTATACATTGAGAAAGGTGCCATATATAGAGTCTACCAATTTCTTATTCGAGCAAGTGTTTCACCTAAAAGTCACAGAAATTATTAAATTATATTTATTCGAATAAAATTATTTCCTAGCTAAAAGACCCAAAGTATCATCAATAACGAGTATTTTTGTATTGGGATACAGTAAGACCTTCCTAAATCACGTCATCGGGACCAGCTCTAGAGCGTGCATTTAGGGAGGGTTGCAATTAGAGAAATCACAATGTGACTATTATCATGTGATAAATATGACTTAGTAAACCCCCGTAGCTCACCCACAAAAAAATTTCCGTTCGCGTGATGTTTTTTACAAAAATCTCTATCTCCAAATTTTACTGCTTTTTATAATATTATAATAATTAATGATTATTAAGTATATGTGAAGTCATGTGATGCGGCGCAAAAAATCCGGATCTACGGGACAGTATCATAGGCAGAAATTCGTCTAATTGGTTAATTTTTGTAGATCTACCCGTGATTATTAGCCAATCAAATTCATAGTT